GATTGCCTTCCCTGCCTGATGAAGCCGTGGATTGGGGGGTCCTGTCACACCCCAGGGCCGTGGCTGGTGGGCAGAGAAGAGCCGAGCCGGGCATGTGGGATGTTCCCATGGCAGGAGTGTGATGTGTTCCTCTCCCTGCAAGGGACCTGGGAATCCTACCCTGTGTCCTCTGCCTGGTGCCTGGGCAGCAGGGAGGGGATGCTCTGGGAATCTCTTCCCAGCATCCAGCATCCTCTGCTCTGCCAGACCCTGGCCACCGAAACGGGATCCGTCCTGCCCCAGCAGAGCGTGGGGAGAGCAGGGGACGGAGGCAGCGCGTCCTCCTCCTGCTCACCCATTAATCACCGGCTGCAGGGGCACCGGGCCCTGCTTAGAATGCGCCGGCAGTGCCGAGGTGAGAGCAGGAGCTCCAGAGAGCCACGGCTAATCTGCTCCCTCGGAGACGGGCTACCTTCGGCCTGTTAATCAGTTGCAGTAATTACAATCCCAACTTTACATGTGGAATGTTAATTAAAGGACGGGACACGGGGATCTGCAGCTTGGCAGCGAGTGGTGTGCCTGTGCTGAGGGGTCTGGGGGTCATGGGGCAGCCCCCATCTCATCTGCTGCTCCCTTCACTGCTCGTGGAGATGGGGCCAGGGCCTGGGGCCAGGCAGGCTGTGCTTGCTGGCACCTGGCACTGCCTCCGCTTTGCGGTTCTGTGGTGGCTGCTGCTTGCCTCTAAAATTGTTTTGCTGATGTGGATGGATGGATGGATGGATGGATGGATGGATGGATGATGGATGGATGGATGGATGGATGATGGATGGATGGATGGATGGATGGATGGATGATGGATGGATGGATGGATGGATGGATGGATGATGGATGGATGGATGGATGGATGGATGGATGGATGGATGATGGATGGATGGATGGATTTGTTGGGAAAGGGGATAGCACAGCTGGAGCTCCACTGCCCTCCCCGCTTCCTGCCCTGGCTCTGATTTCCCCATAACATCCCCAGTGCCCCTGAGCCTCTTCTCTGGGCTGAGCACCTGCCTCCCTCCCACTGTCTCTGTCCTGTGCTCCAGCCTCCCAGCATCACTCTGGACTTCTGCAAGATTCCCTCCTGTATATGAGTCCCACCTGCACTGGGGAGCCCAAAGCTGGATACGGGATCCAGACACGGCCTTGTGGGGGGGTGATGACAGGGCTGGCCGGGGTTCCTTGGTCCCAGAAGTGCATTCCTGGCTGTCCCATGGGCAGCTCAGCTCTGGGAATGGAGCTCGGCTGTTTTCTTCTTGAATTTCACGAGGTCCCCCTGAGCAGCAGCTCAGCTCCCTGTCATACCCACCCTCCTCCCTGGGGAGGAGACCCTCGCAGGTCCTGCTCTGGCTCGTGCCCTCGCAGGGTGCTGGTGAGTGCCAGGAGCTGCTGGGGTGCTGTGTGGGTCCTGCAGAGCCCCAGTTCCTGCTGGGTCCCTGCCTGGTCCCTGCTCTGTCCCTGCCTGTGCAGAGCCGTGAGGCTCTGAGCAGCACCTCTGACCCACCCTGAGCTGCACTTGTCCCTTCCCTGTCCCCAGGACGGGGGCTGTGCTGCCAGCCTGCAGCCCCTCCAGCTGCTGCAGAGGGTCCTTGGAAGGGCTGAGAGCCTGGCTGAGCCCCCAGGGAGCTGGAGGTGGCGGGTGCTCCTCAGCCATCCCTGATGTGTATTTTGCAGGTGTTTTTTGGAGGAGGGATGTCGGGGAGGAGCCGGCAGCCGGTGGAGGTGGGGACCAGCCCCGGCACGGCCGGGGGAGTCATTAAAACCCCGGTCAGCAGCAGGGAGCGGCGCTGAGCAATCTGCTGGGGCGTCAGTGCTCTGGATTATTGCTGTGAGCAGCTGAAGGAGAGCAGAGAAGAGGCGTGAGCTGAGAGGAATGACAAAGAGGGGAAGGAGAGGAAGAGGCCCTGGAGGAGGAGGAGCAGAGGGAGGCTGGGTCGGTGCTGCAGGCGGTGCAGGGTGCTCCAGCAGTGATGCTCTGCTGTCCCAGGAGCTCCCTGGGCAGGGTGGGGTGTCCCGGTGTGTGGTGGCTTTGGCCTCTCCCTGCCATGCCAGGGCACAGTGCTGTGCCAGCCCTGGCTGTGGGAGCCGGGCAGGCTGTGCAGGAGAGAGCAAAGCAGGGGCCTGCCTTGCTGCTGGGCAGGACAGAGCTCCTCTCCCTTGTCCCTGAATCCTCTGTGGGTTTTGGCCCTGCCCAGGCTCTGCCAGGACCCGTCACAGCACGTCCCCCTCGCTGTGTGCTGTGCTGCCCTGGACAGCCCTGCTCTGAGCACCAGGGCTGATGATGCTCCATCGGGCTCCATCTGCCTGCTCTGCTCGCCCAAGACAGCCCGTGCACACTTGGGAGTTCTGGACCATGGAAGGACAGAAGCACCACATTTGTCTTTCTAATTCACCCAGCCTCCTCTGCATCGCTCCAGGGAGCTGCTCTCCTGGAGAGAGCCCAGTCTGGATTCACTGCTGTCCCCTTAACCTGAGTGAATCTGCTGCTGCCTCTGGCTAACCTCCCAGGCCCTTTCCTTCCTCTTGGAGCTCCTTGGACCTGCTCTGTGGTCTTTCTCTTTCTCCCTCACTCCTCAGGTACTGTTCACAGGCACATTTTGGTCACAGGAGGTGCCTCCTGGAGGCCAGAGTGCAGGTCCCAGAGCTGCCAACACAGATCCCACTTTGGGATCTTCATCCATCTTTCTGTGCTAGAAAGTGCTGGCATTTCTCCATGCAGCAGCTTCCTCCTGGCAAAGCCCCAGCTGGATCACCATGAGAGGCACGCTCAGGCTCTCTGCATGTTTCCCCTGTGCTCCCTGACTGGTGGCAGGGTCCCTCCTGCAGGAGGTGACAGCTCCTGTCCCCTGCCCTGCTCCCCATGCCCGTGGGGACAGGCTGCTGGGGGATCCTGCAGGTGCACCTCCTGCTGCTGGGGCTGGAGCTGGGAGCCTGCAGCAGCTCAGGAGGGGCGAGGCAATGATGTGCCCAGCTCTGGCACACGGGACTGGCACAGGGGAATGGCACAGGGGACAGGCACAGGGGATTGTGCTGCCCTCCCCGGGTGCTTGGGGCTCTCGCAGAGCTGAGCTGGGGCCATGGAGTGCCCGGTGTGGGAGCTGAAGGCTGCGGTGTTGCACAGCAGGGCACAGCCCCACGTTCTGGGCAGCCCCTTCCTGCAGCAGCACCAGATGCTTTCCCTGCAGTTTGAGTTTTCCCATCTCATTCATTTTAGAGATTAATTAAAGTGTTTCCCCTCCCTCTCTCCCAACCAACCTCCCTCCCTCTCTTTTCCCTGCTCCATACAGCTGCACATGGATTTTAGGGTCATGCTTGTTTACATCAGTTATATTTACATTAATGGGTGTTTGTTTTAGGAAAAACAGAAGAAATCCCATAAAAACAAATGTTCTTTGTGTCCCACAACTGGTCCTGCAGCCCCACTGGGCTGGGGACTCCCATGGCAGCCCATCTTGCACCCTGCCAGTGGGTCTGCATGGACAGCCCTGCCATGGGCACAACCTTCTAGGGGCTGCTGTGAAGTGACCTCCAGTGCTCACAAGGTGGCTGGGGGGGGTTTCACACGCCCCTGGGTCCCATGCCAGGTGGTGGCAGCCAGGTCAGCTGCACGTGTTTGCCAGGGATAATCCCCCATCCTGGTGTAGGGATGCTGCTAAAGCGCCTTTGATGGGGCAGGCAGTGGGTTTGTCCTTTCATCAGGAGCTTGGAGGAGGGAGAGTGTTAAGAAGAAGAAAGAGAAAGGGGAGGAGGAATGATAATTATTTTTTCCAATGGCTCTGGGCTGCTGGATGCCTTTAAAGTTGCCTTTGTGTTCCCGTGGGTCAGGCCGGGCAGAGCCTGGCCCGGAGCTGCGTGGCGCGGCCGCCTTTGTCAGTGGGGCCGTGGTCTCGGTTATTAACAGGGATATGGAGACCCAGAACCTCAGATCTTCCATGCAGCTGGTGGGAGCAATGTGCAGGGCTGCCTTATCACGCTCATTTAACTGGTTAATACATCTTCAGAGCAAATAATGCGGGCTGGGGGTGAACTGCTTAACCAACCTCATTACTATTGTGCATTTAGCAGCTTGGAGAAAGATAATACCTTTCAGGTTTGACCCAATTTTAGTTTTTGTTGTCATAACCATGGAAAATCGACCTTCAGAGACCCTCAGCAGTGAGCCTGAATAGGAAGTGATTTACAGCAAAAGTGCCGTGTGGAATGCTTAATGCACTTGTGCAGGAAAACAGACTGCGACCAGCTGCTGGCATCCCTTCGCCACAGCGAGGGCTGCCCCGGCTGCTGGCACCCCTGTCCCTGCAGCAGGGGCTGCGGGCACTGCCCTGGCCGTGGGCACACCCTCCCTGCAGGATCAGGCCCTTGCTGGCACAGCCGTCCTGGGGCTGCGCTCGGCTGCGCCGTGTTCCCCTCACCGCGGTGCCAGCGCTCCTCGGGACACCCGCAGGGGGCTGGCCTGGGCACCTGCTTCCCTGGGCACCTGCTTCCCTGGGCACCTCCTTCCCTGGGCACCTGCTTCCCTGGGCACCTGCTTCCCTGGGCACCTCCTTCCCGGGGCATCTCCTTCCCTGGGCATCTCCTCCCCTGGGCACTGCTGCAGCCAGGGCTGGAGGTGCTCACTGCAGTGACCCTGAGGTTCATGTGCCCCCCATGGTCAGTACAGGGCCCCGTGGTCAGTGTGCCCCCCATGGTCAGTGTGCACCCCACAATCCCTGTGCCCCCCTGAGCACCCCTTGGCCTGGGTGTGTTCAGCCTGGCCAGGTGTGCCAGGGTCCGGCCATGGCACTTTGATCTTGGCCAGACTGTCCCAGCACCGCCAGCCTGGGGCTTTGCTGCTGGTGCCCTTCGGCACCCGGGTTGTGCTGCGGGATCGGTGACAACCCTGACGCCCTGGTGACAGCCCTGCCACCACGGTGACAGCCCTGACGCCACAGTGACAGCCCTGCCGCCCTGGTGACAGCCCTGCCGCCGCGCCGGCAGCGTTCCCACGGGTGAGATGTCACCCGCACCCGGCGGGGGTGGTTCCCATCGCTTTGGTTTTGTCTGTGGCAGGCACAGACTTTCCCAGCTCCAGCACTGGGGGTGCGTGGGACCTTCCCCTTGCTCCCATGGGGAGGTGGCAAGCCTTCCTCCCCTTTCGCTGAGGCAGCTGCAAGTGTGGCTCTGCCACCCCAGCCTGTCTGTGTGGTGCTGCTGTGGCGTGTGGGTGGTCCCTGTGGCACGGGATTACAGCTGGCAGCAGTGCCCAGGGCTGGGGGAGAGCTGGGAGCAGCTGGTGCTCACGGGGAGTGGGTGATGCCCATGAGGAGTGGGTGATGCCCATGAGGAGTGGGTGACATCCACAGGCTACAGGTGATGCCTGTGGCTTTCAGGCCCCCCCAGCACAGCCCTGGGGCCCGAGGAGCACTGGGAGCACTGGTGCCCAGGGGCTGCAGGTTCCCCAGCACCAAGGGGCTCTGTTCACACCCACGGCAGCTGTGGGAGGAGCAGGGCCCGTCCAGCTGGGGGTCAGTGGGGCAGCGTGCCCTCCTCCCTCCCCTCCCCAGGGCTGTGGTGGGGTGGGGGCACGACGAGGGCAGGCAATGGTAGATCACTGTAGTTCTTCTGTTTAGCAGCTGAAGGTGAAGCTGCTCCCTCAGCACAGGAGTTGAAACTCTTTAGCTTTCCTCAGTGTCACCTCCATGGCCATGGATACCTCCAGGTGTGACGTAAGTGAGACCCGAGGAAAAAAACATCTCCTGTTTAGCATCAAAATCCCATTACTGAGCGCCGTGTTCTGCTGCACAGATATCAGCTGTGGCGCAGATAAGTGGGAAATAGCTCCTGGTCGGGCTGGAGCAGGAGCTGTATCTTGGGCTGCACAGGTGCCGAGTGCTGCTTCAGCGAGTTTGCTGCTGAAAGAAAATTCCTCTCCCCACTCCTCCGCAATCCAGGGAGAAGCACTGCGGGCGCCTGCCTGCCCAGCTCCTGCTGCCCCCAGCCCTGCCGGCTGAGGAACAAGCCTGTGGCACCCCACTGCCACGGTGGGGCCGGGACCAGGGGGCAGCAGGCAGCGGCAGAGGCTCAGCCTCCTGCCAATGAGCCGGTGCAGCCTTGGTCCTGCCCCTGCAGCAGCCGCCAGGCTGGCCCAGGGATTGCGGATGCTGTGGGCAGCTGCATCATCTTTCCATCTCCTCCCTGAGGTGCTGCTGGCTTTGATAAAACCTCTCAGCCTTGCAGGGGTTGGCTTGTTGATCTAATCGCTGTGGTTTAGTGTGCAGTAAAAGCCCGGTGGCTCCTGGGGGAGATGTCCCGTAGGGATCTGCAATTCACTTTCCCATCCCTCCTGGGGCAGGAACACTTTCCTGGTGGCGGGATGCTGCAGGGATGCTGCCGATGGCGAGGGATGCTGCTGCTGGGTGAGGGATGCTGCTGGGCCCCCAACACCAGTGGGGAACATGCCAGCCCTCATCCTGCACTCACATGGGTTTGCTTTTGAAAATAGATGATGCAGAAAAAATCCTGCTGTGTTCAGTTTGTTTCAGGCATGCAATTGGGTTTTCCCAGTGTTTGTCTTATCCTGCACTTGCTGCACAAGATTGGAGGGGTTCAGCCTGGGGCAAAGCCCACAGTGTGAGTCCCCTCGGAGCCCCCAGCTCCGAGTGGCTGCTGGTCACACACAAACCACAGCAGGGAGGGAACAGGGACTGGTGGCAGAGCCTGTGGAAGGGGACAGCCACAGGGTGTTCAGGGGACACCAAGGGGGTTCAGGGGTCCGGCTGTGACAGACCAGCATTAAAGAGGCTGGGATGGAAGGGCTGGGGAGCGACACTGCTGAGCTCTAGCTGTGCCTGCTGATCAGGAGCAGAGCCTAATGAGCAGGACTAATGAAGCAGGAGGGGAATTCCAGCAAGTCTGGGGAGTGCCTGCATGGGATGTTGACTGTATCTCCGTGGGGTCCCTGCAGTCTGTCCCCACATCAGTGGCGGTGCCTGTCGCAGGGGTGGTGCCCACTCCCTCAGCCTGCTTGGTGTGCTGGGTGGCTGCAGGTGCTGGTCCCAGAGTGGGTGCCTCCAGTCTGCTCCTGGGGCCAGCATCCAAACTCCTCTGTAGGCTGCCTCTTGGATTTTTACTGGCTCCCCACTGCTGGGAAGCCCATCCCTGTCTGGGTGCTGCAGCGCTGGGGTTAATGGAATGTGCTGGGATGGTGTTTGGGAGACACTGGTGGCTTCACACAGCCCTGGCCAGCAGCCTGCCCCAGGGATTGCTGCAGAGCCAGTCTGGGGGGCCTGGCTCCCTTCCCACCTCCCTCTTGGCCCTGGCTGGTTCAGCATCAGGAGGGGATTCACAGCCACTCCACGGCGGCCAAGTCTTGTCTTCCTCTTCTCCTTGGTTTTTAATGAGCCAACCTTGGAGGACCTTGAGCACCATTCCTGCAGCTCTGCTGTGACTTATCTCCCAGCTTCTGCCCCTGTTCTGCCGAGGGGATAAATCTCAGCTCCCGGTGTGGAGCCGGTGCTCTGAGCCCATCCCACCGCACGGTGCAGGCGTCGTAACTCACGGCACGAGGGGGCTGCCTGGCCGAGGTGCCAGGGGGATGTCACTGCTCTGTGCTTGATGGATGGGCTGCCCGGGGGAACAGGGAAAAAGTCCCATTACAATGGAGGACAAGCTGTTAAATTACCTCCTGCTCAGCCTGGGTCAGGAAAAATCAAACGTGGAGCTGCCGGTGGCCTCCAGAGAACCTTTGGGGAAACAGGTGGGTTGGGGACTTTTTTCCTTCAGGAAGAAGTCTTTGCCTTTCCTTGTCTCCATCCCATGCACTCATCTGAGGCCAGGGCTGGTGCTGTCAGGGAGGCAGGACCAGCCTCAGCATTTTCTGCCAGTGCAGAGACTGGCACATGTCTGGGGACCATCAGCTGGGGACCCGCTGTTCCCCGTGCAGCCAAACCCTGTTCCCGGGGCCGAACGCGCTTCCCTCTCTTCAGGGGCTTTACCACGGGGCAGGGTCCTGCCTCTGCATGTGTCAGGGGCTGCTCCAGAGCTGCTCCCCAGCCCTGAGATGGTTGTGCTGTTAAAGGAGTGGGCCAAGCGCGTGTGAGCCCCCAGAGCCGCGGCGTTCCGAGGCGCCGAGCTCTGCCACGTCCTCCTCCGTTATTAGCGGCGGTGCCTACACAGGGACGGGACTGGAGCCTCTCCCTCTCTCTTTCAGGCTGAGAAACTGCTGCTGTGAGACCCCGACGGCTCTTCCTGACAGCTCGGAGGGGTGAACACCAGCTCCCACCTGCCACCACACCTGAGGCACCTGCCCTTGGTCTTCAGGTATGTTGTTTCCACCTAGCTGTCCTGGTAGGGGAGGGCATGGAGATCTTTTTTTTGGTTGAGGATGAAGATGCTGCTTCCCATGGCCATGCCTGGGGCAGCAGCTCACAATCAGCCCGCCGGGGGCTGGTTCCAGCGCTGGGTACAGACCCTGCGTGTCCAGACTCTTGTGTGATGAGCTGGCAAAGGGGGATGTTGCTGGGACAAGCCGTGTCTGCTCTGATCCTCGTGGGATATGGCGTGGGGGGTCTGGCCCTACCCTTTGATCAGTGCCAGCCATCCCTGCTGGCTGCAGGAGTGTGGAGGTCCTGGAGCAGGCGGGACCTCGTGCTGCCCCTGCCTGGGAAGGGGCTGTGTGCCCATGATGCACACACAGCCCTGCACGTCGCCGGAGCCGCCGGGACCCGGCTGCTGGCACCGAGCGTGCTGCACATCCCCTCAGGGCTGCGTGCGGCTCCTCGTGCTCTGGGCTGAACCCATCACCGTCACTTCACGTTACACGGACTGGAACCCCCCTCCTGCTGACACCAGTCTGCACTGGGAGCTCGCACCAGCTTGAGGAGGAGTTAAAATTTCAAACTCTGGGAGGCAGTGGGACTCTCTCCTCCAGACGAGGCGTTTCCCTGTTTGTTCCCAGCACTGCGAGCACCCACAGGCTCAGCAGGTGCTTAGAGAGGCATGAACACGCTGTGGCAGCCGTGGTGACCAGGGCTCTGCTTGGGGATGTTCTGCCACAGAATTTGTCTTCCAGTGCCCTCTCCACCAGCTGCTGTGCTGGGGAGACCCCAGAGCTGGGATTACTCCTCTCCCAGCTGGCAGCAGCCAAGGGGAGCGCCCGTGGGGCCGGGCAGCACCGGTGGGCTCTGCAGGGCTCCCCGTCTGGGGGGCTGCGTGTACCCCCCTGCAAGCGCTGACTCCTCCCAGCCCCAAGTGCCTGCCTGGAAATTGTGAAATGGGAGCGAGAGCTGGAGGCTTCTCGTCCCTTGCTGGGGTACAGATCGTCCAGAATGCGGGATTAGAGCGGCCATGCAGATGGATTCCCCAGCCGCATTAATCAGTTCAGAGGCAGCAAAGGCAGCTGAGCTCTGTGCATCACCTTGAAGCTCTTTTTTGTCTTTAGAAAACTTTGGGTGGATGTTATTGCTCATGAAAGCAAGGGGCTGATCATGCTGGGAAGGAGCAGGCGTAGTGTGGGCTGGCACTATTATGCAAGCTTCCCACATGCCGCTCTGCCAGTGCACTCCGTTCCAGAACAACAGCACGCGTCCTCGTGCCAGCCCCGAGCCACCCCCGGGTCTGCCGGAGCACCGCGGTCCCACCGTGCCCACGTCGCCCTCGCCACGGGCCCTGCCTGCGCCTGCCCCTGCCCCCTGCACCCGCTCACGGTTCTGGGCTGAGGGCTGCGGGCTCCGGTGTGGATCCAGCTGCCGTGAGCTCCTGGCCAAAGTGGGAGCGCTGGGAGTTTCTCCCAGGACGCTGTGCTGCTCTGGGACACGTCTGGCTCTGGGGCTGGGACTCTCAGGGGATGGCAGACAGACAGACAGCCCAGCCATAGCAGTCGTGCCCCTGCTTTGGGAGAGCTGTGCCTCATCTGCGGGGCCGGTGCAGCTGCTGCTGCCAGCACCTGCTCTGGGCAGCAGGGCAGAAGTGGGCTCACCGGAGCCTCTTCCCCATCCAGCTTTCCTCCCTGCTGCTTTCCTCCTCCTCTCCTGGAGCCTGGCTGGGCCCTGTGTGAGGCTCAGGGCTGTGTGTGGGTGCTGGTGCCGAGCTTGGGGCTCACTGAGCTGGTGGGGAGCAGCCTGGAGCCAATGCAGAGCCCCTGCAGTGATTCCCCCCATCATCCCCAAGCCTTCTGGAGCCCCCCCCGGGAGGAGAGTGCTCCTTCAAGGAAGACTTGGAGATGAGCAATGGAAAACATCTGACAGGGGAGCCCTTGAGGCGCTTTTGTTCCAGCGAGTGGGAGTGTGAGATCCGCTCAGACATGAAAGGCTGTGCAGCTCCGTCCCCAAAGTCACGGCGAAGGGGAGGACGGGGGGTGTGCGGCTGCACCGGGAGGTCATCCCAGGAACGACTGGCACCGGCATCCCCGCTCCCTCCCTCCCCTTCCAGCAACTAAATTAGGTCACACTTGAAAGTCAGTTTCTTGGCTGTGGATTTAATTTAGCTTTTCCAGGCTAGTTATCATATAATAAATTCCAGGAGATTTATAGAAAACATGCCCAGGGAGGCTTAGCCAGTGTGTAACAAGATTTGTGCCTCTTTCCCGCTGTTGAGCAGCTCTGGCGAGCGCAGTGCTGCCGGCAGATGTGCAGGCAGGGCTGGCAGCCCCAAGGGAGCTCCCAGGGAGTCAGGACAGCCCCAGAAGTGGGGGGAACACACCACCCCACAGCTCTCTGGGGCACGGGAGGGTCCCAAATGCTGCTGTCCTCTGCCCTGGCTCCCCAGCAGCCACAGATGACCCGGAGCAGGTGCATTCCTGTGGCTCTTCATCTCTTGTCCCCTCAGCCTGGCTCAGCTGGGCAATGCCGAGCCCGGGCCCATCCCAGCGGTGCCGGTTCATGCCCAGAGGAGATTGGGGTGTCCCGGTGCCTTTCTGCTCCGGGGGGAGCAATGTGTGGGACATCCCTGCTGGGGGTACCCTGTGCCCTCCCTGCCCTGGCTCCCGGGGCACAGGGACCATTAGACACAGCCCAAATCGGTGTCTCTTGGCTCTCCCCACTGCCGGGGGTCTCCACCAGGCTGGGAAAGGCTGAGCAGGGAAAGGCTCTGGAGTCCAGAGGGATTTCTGGCGGTGGCAGCACACGGCAGCGCAGTGCTGGGAGCATGGAGGGCACTGCCAGCGCTCCCGCTCTGCTCCCTGCTAACACCACACAATTAGTGTCTTATTAGTCACTCCGTGTGTTAAGGCATTAGAAACAATTAAGGGTGAGAAGAGTTTCCAGATGTAGCGGCAGGCGCAGGAGCTGGGAGCTGGCAGCTCCGCTGGCTGCTCCCATATGGACGGGATCTTGCATGGGGAACTCGCTGCAGGGCCATGGGGCCATCCTGGGCCTTTGGGATGCAGGGAACTCTTGCTGGGCAGCCCTGGGGGCACTGCCCACCTCTGCCAGGGCCACACAGAGCTGGGATGGAGCCACAGGGGCTGATGGATGTCAGAAGGAGCTGCTGGGATGCCCGTGGATGCTGGGCAGAGCCAGGAGTGCTCCCCAGGGCTGGGTTTGCTCAAATCAAGCAGTTATTTGCTGTTGCAGCTGGGTGTGAGTGAGTCCCTCCATGCACCCAGGCGCTGCTGGCAGCCCCACGCTGTCCTGGCGAGGAGCCGGGGCTGGGGAAGCGCCTGGCTGTGAGCAGCAGCTCAGGAGCATCTGGGACACGGCATGTGGGGGACAACTGCGCCGTGTTGTGACACTTCTGGGTGCGGGAGAAGTAGCACAAGCAGTGACGAATGTGACTTCAGAGCCCAAATGCAAGTGACTTCAGCTCCCCAGAAATAGTCCCTGGGCAGTGCAGGGGGAGGGGAGCTGGAGCCGCAGTTCCTGGGGATGTTGGGGTGCTCCTGTGACTTTTTCCCCACCTGCAAGGTGAGCTGCACTCCCACCATTGCCCCCCAGCCATGGCACTGAAGAGAGAGGACACTCATGGAGGTGACGGTGGCTCTGGCCAGCACTGGCAGTCTCTCCCCAGCACGAAACATCTCACCCTGTGAGGAGCACTCTGGGAGGGTTCCCTGTCAACTCTTGGAGGCCTTGGGTGCCCTCGTGGTGTGGAGAGTGTGGGGGGCATCAGTGGACACTGATGCTGTGTTTGCCCCCGGCTGAAGCCAGGCTGAATGAGCAGCGAGGGATGCTGGCGTGCAGCAGGGCGGTGGAGAGGGGCACAGTGGCCTTGAGTGCATTGAAATCATTTCTCTGCTGCTGTCCCCAGGGCGAGGAGCAGTGCGTGGACAGATGGTGTTTGTGAGTGACCTTGTGGCTCTGAGCGGTTCCCTCGGCTGCTGAGTAACGCCGGGAGCCGCGGGAAGCGGCGGCGCTGCCACCGGAGCCAGGGCTGGGAGGGATGTGGGGTGAACCGGGGATGGGAGCCAGAGCCCGACAGCCCTGACGTGATGGCTGCAGGGAATTTCAACGTGCGCTGTGATCCCGGCTCCCCTTGGCTGTGGGAGGAGTGTGGTGCAGGCAGCGAGGCCGTTCTGGGCTCCCAGCAGCTCCTCCAGCCTGGCTCTTCACCTCGGCAGTGGAATCATCTCTGTGCTCCCTGTGCTCCTCCTTGGCAAGGGCCTGAGCTTTCTCCGGGAGCGGAGGCCGCGGTGCGTGGGGACACCCTGGGGACCCCACCTTGTCCCCAGCAGCCAACACCTAGAGAGGCTTTTGCCACGTGAAGTTTCTTTCAGAGCTGCGATCCAGGACTGTGGTCCTGAGGGAACAGATCCAGGGGAAGGGAAAATTGCACTGCACGGTGCAGCTTTGCTGTCGAAGAGTCACCCTGGGCAGGCTCAGCTCCTCTGGCACCCTTGCAGCCTCCTACGAACTCCGTGCGGGCTGCAGCACAGAGAGGTGTCCTAAATTGGGGAAGGAACAAGGAGCTCTTGGCACTCGCCTGGAGCATCATTTGCATTCGGGCGCAGCTCCCGGCTGCGAGGGAGGCGGGGGCCC